CGCTGAGTCGTTCTTCCGCGGGAATTTGCACGAACGCGAATATGAGCGATCCGACGGTAGGGTAGCATCGTTGCTAAAGCTATGCCTAATCGCATGTTCATAATTAATCGCTCGTCGTGTATGCCACACGAGCGCTTAAGCGGCTCGAACGCAACTGCGAGGAGCTACCCGTTGAACGAGGTGTCGACGGCACCAGGAAGATAGAGTGCCTGCGTCTGCCAGTCATTTAGCACCCGCGTGTCTGCCGCCAGTCATTTGCCAAGTTTCGCTTGCGGAACGAGCGGAAAGAAAGGTTGCTACAAACCCGGAGAACGTTTCGTTCGAATACAGATTTCAAACGAACGTTTCGGAGCATGGCTCGGTAACAGTCTCGCAAGTACGTGAAACCATTTACCGAAGCGAATCCATGCGTCGAGCACCATTTCCTTTGCTCTTAACTTGATGCCAAAACAGCGAACATGCGCGCAATGTAACTGTAATTAATTATGCTACAAGCGCGGCTCGTTAACGTGTAATTATTATTCTATTTGGCGACATTATATACGAAATTGAATCGTAGATGTGATTTAGTGGATTCATTACCTATTCATTTAAATTACTATTTGCCGAAATTACAGCCAAACGTCCGAAAACATTCGTCAAGCAATTCTAAATATTATATATCTGGAATCGTGTCTAAATGAAATCTTTCTAGAAACCTGTAGTCTGTACTACCTATTATGGACATGCGTCGGTGTGTGTGTGTGTGTGTGTGTGTGTGTGTGTGTGTGTGTGGTACGATTTTGTAGGGACGAACGACACGCCGCGGCGTGAATTCCATTGAAAATACCGATTGCGTTCGCGTTTACGCGCCGCACCGCGCCACAAATTTGACGCGTTCACACCTCGTGCTCGAAGCGTTTCGGCTGGGATTCGTGCCTCGCGAGCCAGCCCTCCATGTCCTGGGTTTTTATGACACCCGAACCCGAGCGACCGATCGATGGGATATTATGGCCGATAAACCGCTTGCCAATAGTTATTGCCAATAGAAATATCCAAACACGACATGATTCATCGGAAATCAAAACTTTTTAAGGGGAACTCCTTTTCGAGTATCTTTCTCTGTTTACAAAATTTAACTAACTGATATCGTTATCTCCTCTTGACACCAATAAATGTCTCATGTCTTTGACGTTCTTCCAATCCTGAGATTCGTAAGCATAGTTTTGACCTGACAGTTTAACAAGTTCTCGAACTAGACGATTCCCGATTTCAAGGGACACGCGCGATGGTTAACACGACTAAAGCTCTCTCAGAGAAAATTTTCGATTCATTGAGTCCGTTGATCGCCCGTAGGGGAGAAAATCAGGTTTCATGAATCTCGCGCTAGTCCTAGTGATACGTTAACGAGCGTGCGTGTTTGTTCGTTCACGCGAGAACGCCGGGATAACGGTGACGGATCACGGTATTTATTTGCGAGTGACGCGAAAAATTATACGTCGTCGCGCGAAGAAGCGTTAAGAGGGAAAAAGCCGCGACAGAGAAAGAATTGCACCGGTCTCGTAACATTTTTTTCATTCGCCCATTTATCACGCGGACGACGCGACGACGCGACGTAGCGGCGGGGCCGAGAGAGGGAAATCTCGTGATGTTTTACTCCCGCATGCTCGATGCCACTTGGACCCTTGCTTCTTCGCGAACCCTTCCGTTTTAGCGAGACCGTTGCGCTCGATGTTTGTGGTAAATAAATCTCCGAGCGCAGTTAAGAATATAATCGAAGGCTTAAGTGGTTGAATATGGCGCATAACGAGATGAGTAATAAAGCTTTCCGTTCTGACAAACTTTCGTAATTAATTCATATTTAACATTTATTGCGTAAAGTTTTTTTGATACCGTGACTGTATGTAATTTCGTGTGCGAAATTGCGCACGTTTCCTCTATGTTAAAATTATTAACATAACTGAAAAAATTTAAAACTATGTAGCCACTTTATAGAGAAGTTAAAATATTGCAGGAAACAGAATTACATGAAAAATTTTTTATATCGATGAAGTAATATTTCGACATAAATTTCGTTTGTACAGCACTTTGATCTTTAATTATTTTAATGGAAAATACTGACAATTAAAGTCAGTTTTACAATTATCAATTTATTATGAGATAGGTTTTCCTCATCACAGTGATGGAGTATCGATAATCCTGAATGAAATTTAAATATTTCAATTAAATACAAGGTGAGCTCTATTTCAAGAAATGAAATGTGATCAGTGAAATACCGAAGATTAATTTGAGACTATCTTGCTAATCCAAGAATAAATTTCAAATGATTTTAAACTATTATGATTGTAGCTTTAATACAATATCTGCAATTTAAATTGACGTACGACTACTGAGTACGCGTTTCCACGAGCCAGAATATTTTAAGAGTGATGTGTTGCTTTTGATTCCCTTAACACATTACGTATTTATTACATTAATTAATTAGAGCAAGTAAACTGTGGGAAAATAGATAGTGTAGCTCATTGGTTGATAAATAAACATTAAGTATCTACGAACAGTGTTTCAAGTACCGATGAGACTAAAAACAGTTATGAGGAGAATCGGGTCGAACATCCAAGATTCAAACTCCAGAAAAGGATCCCCGACTTGCACGACTTCAAAGAAACAAGAAATTATTTCTCCTATTAGACAGCTGGAAGGAACGTACAGGTACGTAGTCAGTTATAACCCCGGGTTCATCACTCTGAACTCGCGTCAGCTACTTCTGACATACAGAACATGCCATTTATCTACCCTATCTCAAATATCTCCGTTCTCTACCTCCGACGATATCTAACGAATTTCCAACCCGAATTTCGTACCAAACAAAACCTCTACTTTGAACAATTATTATATTACTACCGATAAAAAAAATTCTCATCAATTACCCTTTCAGAATATGTAACAAATATAACTCAATGTCCGTTCAATAAATTAAAACGATTAAACAATTGCGGCAGCTACCTTTTATTTATATGTGATTCTATTAAACTGTGGATTTCATACAGTTATAAAAGGATGCACAATTTTTTTATGGCTGTTAACAACCAAATTTTTATACACAAACTTTATATTTCTATTCGAGATATACACAGACGTATATACTTGGACGCGCGTGCAACACATGAAACGGAAATAATCCGCGTTGAAACTCGCCGGACGGAATTCTATACGCGTATCGCGATCACGTTTTACTTTTCGCGAACACGGCCGCACCAAATCCGTGACGTCGCGTAACTTCCGGCGTCTCGTGCCACACCTGACCACCCCCGACCATCGTTCACCGGCGCCCCGTCGTCCCGGGCTCGAACGCCGCTCGTTGCGATTAATTGGAACACATTGCACCTGGGAATCGCAGGTGTAATGAAAGATAATCGTTCCCGTCCGCTCGCCCTTTCGCCGCAGTTACGTCGACGCCGCATCGACACGAAACCTCCCCGTTATTAAAAGTATTGCCCGCGGCAATGACGGCGTCATGGAAATGATTGGTACGAAATTTACTACAAATTTCTCTTCAGTCATCCACCAATGGTTAATCTCCGAGCGTAGCGTTCGGGTGAATAACGTTTAAGGATGTATTGGCTATACAGTCAATCCCAAAAGTTTATGTACCTTAGAAAAAGGTACTGACGTCCTCTACAAGGAAGATTTTATGTATTTTTCTTCTAACTTAAGTATTTAACGAGTTAAGTACGATTAATTGGCATTTTATGGGTGCTGACAAAATCCGACCATCCCACCGTCGAAACAGCGAACTTTTGGCAAAAAATTTCGTTTTTCCTCAATTACTCCTAAACCGTTGGTCGTACGGGAAAATTGCATATAATCTTTTTTGTAGAGGACGACGAGATTTATAATNCGACGACGACGACGACGACGACGACGACGGTGTCACCGGAGCGATATTGCGTAAGTAGAACTGGTACTGTATTTTGAAAATGGCCCGGGGAACGGGTGGTGCGGTTACGAGGCGGGGATATACTCGGCCATCAATGGGAACCGATATTGAACGCATAGTGGATGAGATTTCCTTACTCGAAATCCCTTCCACTATTCGCGTGAAATGCGAAAGCGATGATATTTTTTTCCATCCTCTCATCTTTATGGGACCGCTACTCCCGAACGGCCACCGACCTTAAATAACCATCGTGCTCGTCTTTCATCTCGCATGGTTATTGCTTCCTCTATTTGTTTCTCGATATTGAAAACCTTGCGATACCGTTCGCTGACGAAAATCGGATTGCGGACTCAGATTCAAATCGAAAATGTCGGCCGATTTTAATTCTCGACGTACAATTGTCTCAAAGATGATAATTAACGAGGGTGCTAGATTAATATTCAGATTGATAGGCAATCGTAATTACGCGCATAAAGGCTGCTTTGACTAATAAAGCCATTAAACTCAATAGGCGAAACAAATTACCTTTATACTACGTCGCGACAACGTGAATACAATCGCTGGCGCAGCATATCGTAAGCGTTATCTCCCTACCTGATACCAAATTATCTATGCAAAAATCTACCGACCGGTTAAATGAAAATCGAAAATCCCATTGCCGTTACGGTAACGTAAACTGATCCCGGTTTCCCAAACATTCATCGATTCCGAACTGGAGGAACGAACGGGAGCCGGTAGTGAGAATTGCAAATTGTAAATTGAACCGATAATCTCGTTACTCTCAGAAAAGAAAAGGGCAATGAATTCTTGGTGAATAAGGCTGATTTCACGGCTTAGCCACCGATCGTTGGCCGTATTGTTCGCCGCGTAATTGGCCGTAACAGCGGATTCACGAGAGCGCGAACTCGAATTCGTCGTTGACTTTATCTCGTCCCAGCCATCTCTACGGGAGACCGCTAATATTTCGCGCGTTTAGATTTACACGGATGCTACTTGCCAACCTCCCGCGCGTCTCTTTGAGGTACCGTGTCGTGAAACGTAATTAAACTGCCGCAAGCATGGCGTAAAAGGTTGTGCCACTCACCTGAATCTGCTGTGCTCCGAATGCGGTGACTCCTCCGGCGATTTGTAACTGTTACCCGTCTGAAAAGTAAAACGCAATTCGTTACGAACAAGCGGGCGATGGTGAAATCGAAAATCGATTACGTATTTTATTTCATAAAATAGAAACAATAAATTGTAGTATAAAAATATTGGATAAACTAAAATATTGAGTGCAAGTGAGAAAACGTTTTTAACATGACAGAATATTGTTATACACCTATACAGGTATATAGATCTTCAATTGTAAATAGAGTTGACCGAAGTGGGCGATTGAATTAAAGATGATGATTGACGTCTGGCTAATTTGACTGTGTCCTACTTTGAATTACAACTTGTCATTCTAGTTATTCCTATCCTTCATATCAATTATACATCACGGCATAGTGTATTTGTTGATTAGTGACAAGAACGTTTCTATGTATTTCTCTTCTAATTTTAGTTAAGTATTAATTTGCACTTTATTGGCAGTGATAAAATTCGCCCGTCCCACCCTCGAACTAGCAAACCATTGGAAAAAAATTTCGTTTTTCCTCAGATACTCTTAAACCGTTGGACCTACGGGAATATTTCATACAACCTTATTCGTAGCTAACAACTAGAGCTACACCTTTTGTTGGAAACATTTTTCGCTAGCATCGATGGTTAACGAGTATTTCGAAAAAAACGATGAAACAGTTTATTGTAAAATATTCGTTAACTTTTCACGATAGAAAAAATGTTTCACACGAAACATGTAGCTTTTTACGGTACTCACAACCTTCGTTTTGAATATTTTTCACTAGCGGCAGCAGGTAAAAAGTTATTTGCAATAAACGAAAATTTCGCAAGATCTAAAATACCCTATGACGAAATTTCGAAAAAATAAAATGTCGGAAGATGTTTTAAAGAAAAGTTATAGGTACTGCTAATATATCTAGAAGAAAGGTCGTACACTATTTTCTTCTATCCTGAATACTTCAGGAGTAATCGATTAATTATTTCGTCCCCAGTCGAATACTTGTTAACGAGCGGAATTAGAAGGAAACTGCATAGGAACTTTTTTGTACCTGACAACTATTGTACATAAAATACCCTACAGCTTTTTACATATACAAAGAACGTAACATCGTCATTGAACCTAAAATCGGTACGCGTGATGACCGAGTTCGTCACACGTTGACCCAGTCCCGTCGTCAACGATGCCGGTTTAATTTCGTCAGAATGACGCCGCGGCACGTTGCGAGGAACTCTCGTCTCGTCTCGTCTCGTCTCTGCGCAAATAACATTCGGCCGTGCTTGTTCCGCAGTCGGAAATCGGACGATAAATCGTTCGCCGCAGTCGTTGACGCCATCGAACGGCAATAAAGCCACTAAAGAAGAGCGACGATATGAATTTTCCGTCTCGGTTGCTCGTATTTCCGTGCCAGTATTCCAGGGAAATATCGAATTCATAGTTAACGGTAGCGGGTCGCGCGACTCCGAGCTTATGCGAGCCGCGTGCATACGAGCCGAGTGAAATCCGGGTGAACGGATATACGGCGCGGGTGTAACAAGAATTTATGTCGATTAAACGGGCGAGAGAAAAGAAAAAAGGGGGAACGCAACAACCGCGAAAGAGCAGGAATAAGGCGTGACGTAACGACGCAGCGGGAAAATGAATGCAGATAGGAGAGACGCGCGGTCGGAGTCACCGGGGCTAATAAGTTTCCATCGAGCCGATTCACCGTCGTAAATTTCTTTGTTAAAACGATTCCGACGTTCGCGCAGGGAGCAAATAACGAGGCGGGCGCGTTCAACCGCCGTTATCGACGATGCAATTATATCAACGATTGACGAGTTTCCACTGGGCGCTGCTAGTTACCAGCGGAATGATATAATTATCTCGGCGATGGATTAGTCATTTTTCGATTCGGAACCATATAGTTTCTCCCTTTTTCGTCTGGTCTACCAGACGGAATTTATATCCCGTGAAAGACGACGGTCGGCGGTCGTTAACTCTTTCATTTGAGCAACAGCAACTAGGACTTTACTATCCGTAAATAACAGTCTTTCGGGAACTTTTACAGACAGAAGAGACGAATTTTTATGCAGTTGCAAGTTTCTTAATAAAACAAGATGCATGCTTCTTTAATTTGGCAACATTGGCTGTTATACAAAAATTCGGAAGCATTCTCTTACTTGATCGGTCTCCTCGAGTTTTTGTTCTGCTACAATTTCCATCGGAATCAGAGGCAGCGAAATCGTTGGCAGCCACGGGGTTTTCTAAATCGCGACAACGACGAGGCCGCGCCGATATTAATCGTTATGGAAATATCCGGACGGGCACAATGGTGGCCCAGCGTTCCGACGGGTCGCCGCTCGTATCGCGTCACAGACAATAATAATTGTTTCGATTCACACGGAAATTCAATAGAGGCTGTGGGTATTATTAAAGGATTGTTCGCGATGGTAGTTACGCCGCGCAGTGATTACAAACTCAATCTTTCGCTAATTAGCAAACGTGCGTCCGTTTACAGTTGGTGTTTGGCTCTGATCATAGTTGATCTAGTTAGACCTTCACTTTTCCATTAGTTGTACAAATTGCAACATCCGGAAACATACTGCGTGCAGATTTTTCAACACAGGGTTCATAAGTTTTCGATGAAACGCGATTGCTCGCAGGAATCATTCGAAAATTTCTGTCGCTCGACAGTCACTTGAGTTCAATTGTTCACCACACTACTGTTCATCGACGTTGTTCGCACGATTGTACGTGAGCCAAACAGCGTTCGGCTACTTCTTGGCACGGGAAACGGTATTACTCGTTCTCATGAACCGTTCAGAGAGAGACTGGATGAGAGAATGAGGTAGAACAAGAGATTTGGAGTGCGTGGGTGTGAGTGAATGCAGGGGGAAACCAAAATATGCTTTGGGACAAAAGGATAGACGTTCGTTTTCACGAATTTACGCCAGAAAGACATGGGAGAAGGGGGTAAACCAGCACCGAGACGTACGGCGAGAGAAAAAAAATAGGGGGAACTGTGAAGAGGAGTAGAGGTCTACGAGCCGAGTTAAACAGTTCCGAGCAGTCGACATCCTCTGTCTGCGAGCACGTATGCTATGTAGACGGCTATTTTCGCTTGAAATGCATCGAGCGACCTCATCTTCCGCGCTATTCTTTTCCGGATGGACGATTGTCCGAGGCGATGAAATTCGGCAATTTCCTCCGAAGAGAAGTCGGGCAATTCAATTTTTTTATTCATCATACTATCGCGAGTGTAGACTTACGATCAATCGCGTAACAAATAAATCTATTCAACGCGTGGAATGTTTGTCCAAGCACTTGCATTAAAGAACCTGTTTCTGCAGTCGGGAAAAATTGAGAAATTCTAAATCGCAGATGGTGCGAGACGCATTCGTCTTACAGTTATCGGAAACAACATCCCTCGCTCGTACTTCATACGTGACAAAGCAGTATTAATCTATCAAGAGCTCTCGGCTTTGCACGTGGGACGGAGATCGATCCGTGTACAATCTCGAGTATCCCTACACGAAAAGAGTCACGGTGGTCAGAGAATTTTCCTAAGTAAATGTACTCGACATCAGAAGTGAACGCGGTAATGCCAACTATACGGAGGCAGTCCATCGAATAGTAGCGTTGTAAGCGCGGGCTTAGAGTGGATGCGGAATCAGCCTAATCACCTGGAAGTGTCGCCACTGTTCACCGCTAATCCGATCGCAGATGTTTCCCTCTCCATTCAACCCTCTGTCCTTCCCATTTGCCCTTTCTCCTATTCTCCCGTCCTTTGCTGCTCACTCTGTTTCTTGTTCCTCTCTCTTTCTCGCTCCTGTTTCTCTCTCTCTCTCTTTCTGTCGCATACAAACACACGTACCGGCGTTCCAACCGCAGTGTTTGTTTGCGGCTGCGTTAGCGAATCCTAATCGTGGTTGGTCCGTTTTCGCCCTAAATCTGTCACTGCGTGAGACCGGACCGCTTGAATCGAATAAAACGCGCCAGCGTGCACGAGCTGTTTAATCTTCTCGCTCGCATGTCGCTTCGGCTCGCTCGCAGCATACCGGCGCGCGTGTATCGCTCGGCGCGGCTCGGCGACAAGATCGCGATTTCCCAACGAGGGCGGAACGCGACACGCTCCATGTTCGCGGCGTCGGGATTGATATTGGTTGTTCGCCGATTCTTCAATTTCAATCGGACAATGCAGAGGACTGCCAGGGACAGGAATAAAAAAAAAATCGGAATTTCTTTTTTTTTCCTGCCGGTATTTGGTTAACAGTTCAGAGACACGCACGTGGTTGGGCGCAAAAAATGTTTGTTCAGGTAAAACGCTTTGACGGGGTGCCGCGGCTGTAGTTCGGGTTCGCACCAGCGTCGTATCCTAAAATTTGATGAACGATATGCGTCCGACACTCGTTGCTCTGTATCGTTTCAAAATAATCAACCAGAGTAGCGAGATCTCGAAAGAGACGAGGCGAGAACAGAACGGGTCTAACAGAGGCGAGTTGTATTCCACAAAATTAATTTCGCAGCGCGCGGTGAACGTCGCGGAAAACAGCGCGTCAGGCGTCCGCTCGCGCGCAATGAAGTTTCGAATGCTTGACGCGGTACGCGAAAGCGAGCGAGGAAACGCGCGACGAAAAGGAGCAACGCACGGATGCGAGAGCGAGAGGCGAGGATAAAACCGACGCACTGGACGAGGGAACAAAAAAAGGAACGGAGGTAACGGCAAACAGAAAAAAACAAGGAGAACGCAAAGAAAATTCACCGGCGCGGCGGGCGTACTCGTATGGAGCCGAGATGGGAAAGGATTGCTCTCTCGAGCGCACCGGAGGAGCAGGAGCGGGTAGGGAAATATTTTTGAAACGAAGAACTCGCGCTCCGGTAAGAGAGCCACTCTAATTAGCTTGGTATACGGGGGTGGCTTTTTGTTTAATTAACACGCTCGTAGTAAACTACCCTTGTACCGCGTACCGATTCTTCCTCCCACCACCTGCTGCCATCCCTTGTTACCATGTCGCCCTCTGTGCGTCTACACTTTATGTTTTTTTTCTCTCTGCTCAACACC